GCACCGAACGTAATGTAAAAGCACCGAACGTAATGTAAAAAGCACCGAACGTAATGAAAAGCACCGAACGTAATGTAAAAGCACCGAACGTAATGTTAAAATGGCCGAATAGCAAATGCGCCGAACGGAAAAGAGCCACTAAAGGCAGTAACGGCGTTCTATATGTGACAGTTTGATAAATCGGATTGGTTCACAGTTTTATCGGCTCTCAATTTTTGCATGCTCTTATCGATCATCCGGTCTCAACGTCCTCGGTTTGTCCATGCCCTTTGCGCACCTCGATTGATGCAGTCTTTTGTAAAACTTTTCACTGTTATTTATAACTTGATGATAAACTTGAGTTAATAATATTATGAATCTTAGTGAGCTTTTTGTTCAAATATTGGAGTCTGAGCAGAAGGCAGAAGAACGAAAATATGTTTTGAATGACCGTAAGTATGGATGTGTGTAGACCCTAGGCCTAGACTAGGCAGAGAAAGTAATATACTACTGCCTTCCCTAACTAGGCCTATGCCTAGGCTAGGGCCTAGGCTACTAGGCCTGTCTCCCTTTTTGACAACACGACAACTGACAAAGGCATTAGGATAGTTTGATCGCAGTGAATTCATATAATTTAATTCAAAACGTTCAATTTTCAGCTATTTTTGCTATTTTTTCGCACATTTCATTAGCTCAACCCGCCCTCGAACGTTACGTTATCTCACTATATTAATTGGATTAACACATTATCAAGGATAAGTACTGGGTGTTTAACACTGGTGTCCTTGGATTCAATTATAGGTAAACGGATTAGTTGCCTTTTTTTATGAGGTTTTAATTGTTCTTTACCGCCGAAAGTGCGGTATTCTAAACGTTAGTTTAAGGAGGGCTGGTCGGCCTAATGCTCTTCATAACTTTACTTTTACTTGTCCGATTTTTTCTTTGTTCCGTTATCCTATTCCAAATTTAGTTGGTACATTTCACATGCTTCAGTAACCAGTCATTGAATTCGCTTTGACGCGATCAAACCCTATGCAAAGGCAATTTTGATCAACTAGGTGATCAAACTAATCCTAATGGCATCATAACACAAAGCACGAAACATTGACACATCATAGGCCTATATCTGACCTAGGCTAGGGGTCTAGGTCTACCAGTAGGCCTAGGCCCTAACTAGCCTAATACCAGAACGACTTGTCAGTCCATCATCATATTGTTGGCATCCTAGGGCCTACCTATAGCGTACTGGAAAACAAACGTCAAACGCATTCTAACAAACTGGCAGGGAATTGCCTTGCGTTATTGGTCATGATCATGACAGCAGGCCCGGGAATCAAAAATTTCAGATTTGATCAAGTCCAGGCTAGTAAATTGATCCCAAATTTTACTCTACACATGTTTATTTTGATGTGTAGAGTAAAAATTATAATTAAGTATTTTAAAAATATGCACAAATCTGAACCAAAGTAAATAACATAAAAAATGAATTGAATGAGAAATGAATTGAATGAAAATGGTAATATAAAATAGTCCTTTTATTCTTTATCATATTATAGAAAGATAAAATCTGATGCTTCCCTTTTGTATTATTCTCCTCATGCACAGTCAAAAGAAAAATTGGAAGCACAAGAGTAAAGCTTGAAGAGATTCAAGAACAAAGGTCATCAGTGCAGGGTCAACTGCTTCTCAAGGTTAGAAATTCATTATCTAGGCTTAAATTAATAATACACTCCAATATTATATTGGTCTTATTTTTACTTTGATATTCAAATATGTATATTTTTTCTCAATATTTAATACTTTTTGTTTGCCAGTAATTTTAATTTTAGAGACCCTGCTCCCACATGTATAAAGAGACTGAAGAGATCAAAACATAATTATACTGTGTCAAAAAAAAATATTCTATGGTGCAGTGTGTCTTAAACTTAAATTTAATTTTAAACCAGACTGCCTGTGATTTTCATGTAGTTATTTGTTCATCATCAAATCTAATTCCATTTTATTCTAATTTTAACCGGTGGCCATGACTTAAAGTTCGCACAAACTAATTTTAGTCTCCATCCACACCGTACTTATTTATTCGATTTCTAATTTACAATATATATGATTTTTTCTTTTTCTACTTTAGTTAAGTTTGTCTTCACTGTACTTTTTATGTTGTGTGTGGAAAAATCAATAAAACAAACAAACAAAACTTTTTTCTTCCTTTTATGTGGCTTTGTATTGAGGGAAATAATAATTTACCATAGATTGGCGAGTCGAGTGGCCGAGCGGTAAATCAAGCTACAGCATTAACAGCGGCGCTGGTTCCAGCCGCACCTCGCCCATGGTTCAGTTGGTAGAACCACTTCTTGGATAAGGACTTAAAATGGCTCGTGTGCACTTTAAAGAACCAATTGTCATCTTTCGGAAGAGTAGTGGGTTACCCCAATGTTATGGTTCATTTCAGCCCCTGTCGTGGACTGATGTGAACGTGTAGCTACCATGACGTGCCTCTTTACAGCTACTAGTCACAGACCACGCCCATACGTAATTCAGCTCAATGACGCTGCAAGTTATGGGTTATTCTCTTACCTTTACCTTTATAGTCCTATACATTTTATTTTAACTAGACAAATAAATTATCTGAAGAAGAACTGAATTTGCAGTGGTACATTAGTAAAAAGAATATCTTAAAGGAGCAACTTAATGAAATTCAAACAGCCAACAAAAGATTGATAGAAAATCTGGTGAGTTTTTGATTTATGATAATTAATATGATTAATGTATTTCCTACTCAATATTCTGTCTAACCTTAGCTTTGTCCACACTATCAAATTTTTGTTGACAAAAAACTGTTTAGTCACGATGTGCATGGTCATGATGTGATGACATCACAATATTTAGGCATGTCACATGGTTTTTTCAAATGTAATTTGATAATCTGGACAGGGCGCATTTTCTTTATTGTAGGGCAATTAAATTTCTTCACTTGGAATTTAACTAGTGTGCCTCTTGCTCTCCCTGCCTGGCCCTCCCCCCACATCTGGTACACTATGTGCTTAATATTTTCTATTATTGTATTGTGATTGTTTATTAAGTTGTTATTTATGGGCAGGGGAAGATGTAAAATTAATTAGTTTTGTGTTTTATTTTAATATTACTATTCATAAAATTAATGAGGCCTTCTAAGAAAAAAATACATTACAAAGTGCGGGGGTAAACAGTGCATTGATAGGAATTAAACCATCTGCCTCTGCTCTGGTGCAACCCCGAACCCCTACTTAAGTGGTGTGGATATAGGACTGGGATTGTATGTCCTGCTATAGATGAGGTAATTGGACTCTTTGTGTCCAGTCGTAAACACACCTTTAATAATAAACTACAATTATTGAGTGAGAATCTAGTGAGAAAAAAGCAATTTTTCCCATAGAGTGGAAAACACAAAAATATGTATGTTAATTTTTTACTTAAAATGAACACTTTCTAAAAACAATATTTTTATTTAAAAAAATATTTTAGTCATCTGTTAGGGAAAGACATGAAGATGGAAGAAAGATCTTCCAGGAGGAATTAGCAAGGTTCAATAGAGAATATGACCTGCAAGGTAGTGGGAAGATGGGGCGGGAAAGACAGGCTCAAACAGAAATAGAAAATTTGAAAAAACAGGAGCAGCAGCTAAAAGAAGGTATGTGTAACCATCAATCCTGAGAGTAAAATGCAAGACCAAATTTTTGTATTCCACATCCCCATCCATGTCGGCATCGCTAACGTTGTTGTTGTCTTGACCACAATCAATATTTGGTGGTTGTATGTTTTTTTAACCAGTTACATCTTTTATTCCACATCCATAAAATTCCATAATTCGTAGACAATATGCAATTCCTGCGCAATTGATCAAGGATAGACTGCTGGGCCTAAAAGTGCAAAATTGTGGAGATTTATTTGTGCAGTTTCACTACATAAAGATTATCTTATGCAGTTTCCAAAACTGCAAATCATACAATCTGTGTATAACATACACTCTTCAGAATGTACAGTATATTGTTTAGACGAGACTTTTTTATAACTTGTTTAGCGACTGCAAATATTGATAATTTCAAATAAAAATAAAAATTTATTTTTGGCCAATTAGCGAACCCGCCGCAATGAAAAAGTGTAAATTTCAGAAAAAAATAAAAGTTTTTCTTTATTTTTATTACACCCTCTGCTGCCTTGAAATCTCCAAAGATAAAATATGTATATTTCTTCTATATAAATTTGAAGCATTTAACCATCTATTTTACATTCACCAATAAAATTTTATTTTTATTTTCTCCTCTGTCTGGATGTTTTTGGCAAAACTATTTGCTAAATAAGAAAACAAAATTTTATTTTTATTTTTATTTTTATCCCGCCCTCCTCAGATGATCTTTAAAAAAATATGTACGCGAAACAAGGAATAAAAAAAGTCTTGCCTTAATATAAAATATTGTTTTTGTGTCATATTTATTAACTTTTTAATATCTATATATAGAAATGAGCCAGTTTAGAGAACATACAAAAATATTGAATGAATTGACTAAAGAAAAAGAATCCAGAATGATGGAAATATATGATATGGAGAAGAGAATGAAAGGTATGCAAACTTCCTGAAAGAAAATGTGATTGTAACCTAGAGTATTATTTTAAAATTTGATTGGTTATTTCCTCTTTGTCATTGACAATCATCATCATCATCATCATCATCATCACCACAACTCCGACCACCACGATCATCATCATCATCAACACCACATCATCATCATTATTATCATCATTTTCATAACCACCATCATCATCCTCAAGAGTATATGCATGCATTTTTTTGGATTAGATTTATTCGATGTGAACGCCATGATGATGATAATCATCATCATATCACTAACATCATAAAAATAATTATAATAATGTTAGTCTTAAGTAACACATAATAAAATAAGATTGTCTCTGTGCTCTTTACATTAACAGAAAAAACTAACCATGAAATATCTTAACATTAACAAAGAAAACAACAAAAAGCAGAAGAATCATTCTCCAGCACTATTGAAATTTGCATTTATTAACAATCTCATACTGCCTTACCAAAGACTTGGATGAAGTTGTGCTGAAGGAAGAGGAAGAAATAAGTAACTTGAAGAAGGAGAAAAACGATGTGGCAAACAAAGCTCACTCATGCACAGAATTTAAAAGGTAAACTTATTCAGCACCCAACGCATAAATTTAAATAAATAAAAGGAAATATGCATCGGTAGACTTAATTTTATATTATTATTTTTTTTTCATTATTATTATTTTTCTTATTTTTAGCATTATGACACATACTTCGTTTGGTTGGGTTTTATGGTGCAATTGTACTGTTAGAACTCTTAACTCTTAACCCTGCAATATCATAGCGACTAGGAAAATAAGTAATGGATCTTAAAGTAAACACAGTAAATCTAGGCACACACTGTGTTTTATAACTGTTGTACAGCTGATGAGTCCATCGCTGTAAGAAACGGTTTGGCGCAGTGGGAACGGTTTGGTTTCCCAACTTCGAGGTCTGGGTTTCAGTCCCTCGCTTTGAGGACTTGCCACAAGTCCCTAATTATTGGTTTTCCCTAGTGTTAGATATTTTCGAAGAGCGCCACCAGTGTCTGGTTAAATTGAGAAACTTTTTATGTTGATGAAAACAAGAAAATTATACTATGGAATCCCATTGGTGCCAAAATCAATTTTTTTTTCAAGCCTTTTCACTGATTAAGACAAAGTTTAGGACTGGAACTGAAAGGAAAAGTGCTATACAAGTAACAATTTCTTAACAATGATTGTCAATGGTAGAATGACCTGAATGTTATTCAAAATGATCTGTTGCATGTCCCTCTTCATTCTCTACAAAATGACGTCGGCCCATGTCCACTGGCACAGTGTGTGCCCAGCATAAGGCCATTTAAAAAAAAACACCAGATCTCATTTTTCCAACAGGAAAAGCCATTTGATTTTAATTTTAACAGACATCAGTAATGCTATTACCTACTACTTCAAAACTTAACACTATATATTTATTATTAATTGTTTAAAAATGAAAAATAAATTCACTTATATAAAAACATTGATATTTATAAGTAAAATCCCTTGAACTATTGTTGGTGAATACCGACATTTAATGAGCCTCTAATATTTATTCATTATTAATGATTAACAATTCCATATCAGATTAATTTTTACTATATGTAAAGCCTTGAAAATGAAGACAAATATAAGTGATGAAACATGAAAATTATTCAGCATTGCTTTATTTAGATTACAGAATGAACTCGAGAGTTGCCAGGATGATGCTCTTGAAAGTGTGTGCGCTGCCTTACAACTAGAGTTGGACGAGTTACAAAGGAGTCTCTGGCAAAAACAGTTGCACAGCAGATCAACGGAAAAGCTCCAACAACGAAAAAGCAACAACCTGAGAACTCATCAAACATGGGTAATGATATTTGTTATCTTTAGGCGCAATGTTCTTGGAACACCGCCCTCTGCAGCAAGTGTGCGGAGCACGAATTCAAAACGCCATTATTATGTTTGGTTATGTAAAGATATTATATTTACCAACTGAGATGGACTCAAACTCATAAGGAGGGGTGGTGTTTAGACAGGTTTTACTATTCAATTTACAATAGCCAATTGCGTAATTATTATTTGTGGGCCAAATTTCAGGATATTAAAATTTTTTGTTACGTCCCTCTATTATGACGATAAGATCCGTCTGGTGGATCATGTGATATTACTTTTAGCGCACAGTTTTGAATCACTAGGCATTTCCGAGCTGCTTGTCGGTATACAAAATCGTAAACCTAGATTTATATACTTTTGATCAAATATGATGAACCAAATTGTTTTTTTCAAGAATATTTAAGAAGCTCGTGGTCAAAAGAATTCTGATGCAACAGAAAATTGTGACATTGGGCCAAAACTTTATAAAATTAGTATTAATTAACACTAGAATATTTGTTACAAATAAACTTGTACATGTAGTTGTAGCTGTACATGCAATTTAGAAAATTTTGTAGCCAGATAAGGATTTTATGCTTAGTCTACTTAGCCCACCTGTGTTGTAGGTAGTTGTTTTCCCCTCAGTGAAAACAGCAACAATAGTAATAATATAGGGATCTATTCCACGCCTTTTGCCAAGCGATACAAGACGCCACTGATGATACCACTGGTCTTTGGATCCATAATTAAACCAACGCAAAGTGCAAACTCCTCCACTCCCTGGGGAATATTACTAGTTGTGCTTGCAAATTTAATGCCGATTCAGACTAGTACATTCAATGCCACATAATCCTACCTGGTACCCATTTATATTGCTTGGGTGGAGACAAACGTAGGTACTTGCTGAAGAACACTAGCAAAAATTCACAGCTAAGGTTTTAACCTGCGACCATAAGATTGAGAGGTCGCAGCGCAACTGCTGCGCCAAACCGCTACCACAAGTAAGTAAATAAATATTAAATAATAAATAAGGCCTTCTTTTATTTTAAGTTGATAAGTATTGTGGGCGGAGTCAAGAATAGTAAAACAGTGGGACACGTCGAAACGTGTCATTCATAAGTTTCTATACTTTATTAGATGCATTACTTGTTATCCCATTGATCTATTCTACTAAGTACACAAGTTATATCAATGCATATATGATAGAGATTAATTAGTTTCAGTTTTAGTTTTTATTCAAATTACTTTTTGAACAGTGGCACACACTAGAAGCTGGTGCATCCAAATAAAACTTGCAGTAATGCTAATAAATTTAAAAGGAAAAGGCATAGGACAATATAATATGTTAATGAAAAATGAAGAATGGATTAATTTGTAAGAGATATACCTGTACATACGTACAAGCATGGAGGTATAAAATCGTACAAGAAATGTAACAAGCTCTTAACAAGTTTCAGCAATTCTACCCTCCAAATGTTAGTAAAGTAAAAAATCATTTGCACACATAATACATTCTTGAATCTTGAATCTTGAAATTCTTGAATTTTTACATAAGTAAACAGTAAGATTTACATTTAAAAAAATATTAATCCGGAAAAACTGGGTATGTTTTCAGGGAAAACCAATAAATAACCGGCACAGTTGCAATAAGACAACCAAACAGTCCTGTTTTAAATGGACACCCCCTATGAAAACCTCAGCTTCTGTGGCAGTCCAGAAGCTTCAGACAGCAGTGCCATCTGAGTTACCAAAACCAAATTTGAGAAAACTACGACAAGAAATGCAGAAAAAAATTCAAAAGCAGCAGGTAAGTGGAGCTTTCTGGAGTGTTAATCAAATATGACAACTGACCAATCAAAACAGGTCCAGAAAGGTTAAAGGTTATAGGCATTTGTGCCGTGCAAAATACTAGGGTCTCAAGGTGCAAGAAACAAGTGGACAGATGTAATTCGAAAATTAAGAAAAGAAGAACTCCAAGCCAGCACCCAAACTCGGTATGGGGATACGCCCTCGTCGCTGAGCAGGGATCTGTCAAAATGTACCCTGTCCAGGCCATCCCTGGATTCGGGCACCTCCTATCCTGACAGAACTAGAAGAAAGCTACAGTAGCTGGCAATGAATGGAAAACTATAAAAGAACAAAACAAGTGTTTTTAAATGAGATTTAAACACAGATGGATGGTGACAGATGGATGGTGACTCATGGATAGATAATGGCAAAGAATTCCGTAATTTAGGTGCAGCAACCATGAATAAATGCTCCCCACATGACTTTAATCTCCAATGTGGACAACCAAGGGTAGTCAAATCAAATGTTGATCTAAGGTTATGAGTACATGTTGAAAAGCAAGACTTAGGCGAGTTGATTGGCCAAGCTTTTAAGTCAGGGCCACTGTAACCTAAAGCTATAACATGGCACTGGTTCAAACGTCTTACTTGTCAATGTGGAACAAGACTTCTTGGATAAGGACTTTATAGGCCCAGTGTACGCATTTGGCAAGAGTAGGGGGTTACTCCGGTGTACTTGTCCATTCAGTCCCCTATCAGTTTGATATGCCACATAGGATAGTGATAACTTCATTGATGGGCATATCCTTGGCGCTCGTGCCTAAAGAAATTAAATGAAATGATACGTTGACAAATGTATTTCGAAGATGAGTGATGAATGGATGAAACGAACAATATATTTTGAAATCCCTACGCTGCTTTCTGGCAGGTAACCAATGAAGATGACAGAGTATTGGGGTGACATGTTGAAATTTAGGTGATACAGTAACCAGCATAGTTACCCACCGTCTCGCATCGTGCAGGACGGTCATGCATTTCTAAGTGATTGTATGAAACACGCATTTTGGAGAAACACATTTAGCACAAGTCTATGCATGATAACGAATTATCACGAATTAATGGGAAAATGTATTCAAAATTAAAAGAAATTGGTTTTATTAAAATATAAAAACGGTCATGCAGTAGCTTGAGTCATTAAAAGAGATTTTGTTATCTCATTCGAGTATCAATTTACTGAGAAAATTTCTCTTTCCCGACCAAAAAAAAACCCAGCCAACCATGCACTTGTAGAAACTAGCAGTCGCATGTGGTCTTCTTGCATGTTCATTGTCATACCGTTGATATCATGACTGGAAGCCGGTCATCCAGGGTTCCTCCCCTGACACCGGGGCCTTGCCCTTCCACCCCACCTAACTGGTGTAGTCACGCATTTCAAATCTCTCAGGTTGGTAACTATGGACCAGCCAAGAAGTGATGTTGAGTAATTGCTAAAGCTTATTAATTGATGTGAGAAACAGTCCATAGAGAACCCCATAAATAATTTAATCTGGATGTTAAGGCATGCATGAGTTTAGAAGCAGCATCTTTGTTTAGGAAACGTGTAACCTGTTTGATATGAATACACGCAACATGTATTTTTTCACAAATGCGTGTGTGTGTGTGTATGGTTTTACACTCCTGATTTGATGGACCCTAGCAACATTCTTTACATTAATTCTTTAGGCCTTTATTATGAAACATTCATGTTAGTAGTGGAGAAATTCACAGATATCATTGTCGTCATCATTGTCTTTATTCTCATCGTCATTATAATAATAATCACTCGAGCGGCACAAGTGGGGGTACCCTTTGAACATATACCAACCCATGCAAAAAGCGGACAAGATCTCGCACTTGGCATAGTCAATAAAACGTTCTATCACAGTGCCGTCAACGAGAATACTTGCCCCCTAATATTTTCCTGCCAATTTATTAGACTCATCATTTTGATGATATATGACTAGATAAAATTTCAAAAAAGTATATTTGTACATGTAAACTTGTTTTGACACACAGAGAGGAATCTTAAAAAAGGTCTGGCAGTCAACGTGTTAAACAGCTTTTCTGAATCATACTGAGCTACTGTCTTTTTACTTTACTTTTTTCATTAATTTGGTACTGTTCTTTCTCTATTTATTTTGCTGAAGGTGGCTCCTAATTTTGACCTTCAATTAGACGATCTTCTGGAAGATTTTGAAGATCTTGACGAGATTACACTGGATGAAGTGAATGACACTAAGCCTAACAGCAACAATAATAATAATGGTGCTTTTTCTCAGGGCAAAATTCAGACAAATACAGTGTAAGTAGCATCGTAGTTGAATATTTATATTGCTGATTTAATAAAATCATAAGTGCATGCTCTATCCCCTTCAAGTATATAATATAAATTTAAATTCACTTTTTATTATGAGTGTAACTTACTAACCATGTGTCTTATGTATTAGTGTAAAGTGGATTAGCATAATGTAATAAGCCCTCTTGCAGTTTTAAGTGCTCAGGTGAAGACATATTTACAATCATACAAATTATCCATAATTTTATTAAGCCATATTACATATTTAGATCTCGACGTTTCATATATTTTATTTGTATATGCTTTAATCTTTGACATAGACATGAGCAGTTGAAACAAGTTGTTTATTTTCATGTTTGGTAAATTTCCATCTTTTCTACAGAATGCCAACACAATCCAAGAAGGTTCGATTCCGTTGAGTTTCCGATTGTGTGAAATATACACTGATAAGCTGTGGGGTCAGGGATCAATAATTGTTATACAGCGAGGTATCACTAGACTCAACTATCCTAGGCAGGGATCAAAGTTATCCTTGCCTATTTGCTTGGGATTCCATGCTCTCGAATGCAAGTTCAGGAGTTCATATCGCATAATGGCCATTGGCTTGTGTCCATGGGCAAAGAACTTTACCCATGTTTTCTCTCTTGTGAAATGTTAAATTTACTTTGTGTACACACTGAATATTCAATAAGCATAACTAGGAACTTTTGAAATAATAACCAAAGAGTAGTAGGAATACTTCATGTATGATTTCCGGTAACCCAGTTCAATAATTTGAAGTACCTGTAGACCAGGGGTGGGCATAAAAATGGGTTGGAAGGCCAAAGTGAATTTTTGATTAAACAATGAGAGGTGCACCCAAACTTTTGATGTTTCCAGTGTGCTTCCAAAAACCTTGATGCACTGTTTTATATCGCTTTATGCTCAGTTTTAATATTACTTTTTACAGACGATCATGGTCTCAACCCGTAAAAGACAAGGGGGTTTTTAGCTTAGGATTGTTGGTGGGCTGCACACATAGGGTTTTATTTATTTTCGCTGGCAGCACTTTTCTCACTCTGCTGAAGACATTTTGACATAAAAATTGCTATATAAAATGCCAAAAATTCACAGTTATTTGGTTGTCAATTTTCAAAAATGTTTAATCTTGCATGTTGCTTGATAGCCTAAAAATTCAGCTTTATATGTTAATAATGTATCGCAATAGTTGATGTTTGGTTATAAAGTTTAATAAAAATATTTTAAATTTAAGTTGCTTAATTTCTTTATACTGCATATTATTTATTTTTGTTGTTACCGAATAATATTTATAAGGCAAAATAAAAAATAACAAGAATATAACATACAATTAAAAAATAAACACAACATTAGGAAAGTAACAGTTATAATTCATCTGTATGTTATTCTGGAGTGTCCATACATTTGCCCATCTAAAGTCATGTTGATATATTTTGGAAAATGAATGACTATCATAGACCCTTTAAACTAAAAGCAGCAAATTGCCCTGTGGGGGGGGGGGGAGAAAATGCACAGGGTGGCACAATCACACAACCATACAGTAACATAGCATTATAGTACTGGGAAACTGTTACCTATTTTTTTCCAAATAATGTACCAAGTTGTTTTTTGAGGCATATATTACAATGATATGTATGTGGAAACAATAGCTTAAGATTGAATCCAGAGTTGCTCACAAAGGCTTAATTGTTATTTGTGTGATGTGTAGCAATACACAAGCTCTGCAGTTAAGTTGATGCTGGGCACTCGCTGCACCGTACGACCAGCGCACAGCTGATCCGAATACGTAACGCCGTCTGCTGATTGTGGGTAGCAGTCTGATCGGATCGTCATTAAAAATGATTCATTGCGCGCGCATCGTCGCATTGCGTTTTTCCTAGAATTGCGTCGGCTGCTGACCGTTGTGCGTAACGAGTACCCGGCTTAAGGCCTGGCCAGCTTACTGATGGAAGTTCCTGCCATTTTTTGCATTTTACTCCACTGGTGTAACGATGAGTAACAGGGTCACTATTTCAGATTATTTAAATTTCAGTTTGTAGTGGAGCCTGGCTGTGGAACACTTTTGGGTCCGGAATTGATATTGTATAAAATAAGTGTCATCATGCGAGTCTACAGAACATCCCCAAGTTAAAAACCAGTAATTATTATGTTGCTGTAATTTGCTAGTTTTGGTTGCCTTCTACTCGACTGTATTGCGAAGGCTCTGTCAGAAGAGTGCTGTGTATTCGTAGGAGGGCTCCATCTGGGGCCACTTTGGTGCTCCTTTACTACACCTTGATTTGATGAAATGGTAAACCATACAGAGATCATCTCCTCTACACATCACTAAAATTTCACAAACAATAGCATGAAACAGAATATTTATATAATTTTTTTATAACTTTATTGATAAAGTTGAAATGCTACAATAATAGGCAATACTCCTCATAGACCTTAAGGCTGTATAAAGTTGCATAATTTGTCATATTTATGTTAAGCACAAAAAGAAAATACTAGGATTTGTCTTGTAGACTAAATTTAATCTAAAATTATTCTTGGCGGGTATTGGAAGAACGTGCAGTAACTTCATATGTAATGTTACAAATTATGCACTTGCATCTGTTTTACCACAAAACCTGCATTTTGAGAATGTAAATCATTTTAGTTGTCAAGCCTAAATACATTTTCCTATTATTTACTGAATGTATTCATTAAACTATCATTTAAAACAAAAGCTAGTTAAAAACTGTAACTTTGCAATATTCGGGAACATAAAAGTGTGATTCGTTGTCCCGCAACGGCAATTTCTCAAAAAAACAAAAATTGAAATACTGTAGTTAACAAATGAAAAAGTACTGATTTGACAGTTCTTTTAGGAAAAAAAGAGAGTTAAAAAATATGTCATTTTTATATGAGTTTCACCTTGAAATAGTGTAGTATACAGCTTCTGCCTGGGAGAACACTACTCGGAATCAGTGGCATATCTAGGAGACTTGAAATGGGGGAGGTGTTTGGGGTGGGGCACAAAAGTTGAGTAGGAAGCTCAATGATTATGTGAGGGGGGTACTCTTTCTCAAAATGAGGTGATATCTGGTGTACCGTATTATAATAATGCATTTTGTAAAATATTATTGTATTATAAAAAAATATAGAAAATTTTATTAGGTTGATACACACAATTATCTGAATTTACCGTTTGTAAAACAGTGATAACTTTCATTGTTAACAATATATATATTACAGATTCAAATATTCAATCTTGTTATAAAAATATAAATAAAATATAAATGTAAGTACCATACATCAAACTATTTGACTGGTTTTGTGTTGCATCGGTCATGGAAAAAAAGGTAAAACCAAAATTAAGCAGTCTAGAAGTACTTGGTCAAATGCATAAAATAATACATACAAAATCTGGTTTCGTACACAAATGCAGATTATATTTTTTACATTACTGTAAGTTACTCAAGCCAATATGACACAATGGAAGGAAATCTATTGTTGAAATTAAATAACTCTGAACATGTCTAATATATTTTTTTTAGTCCAACACTTTTATTATATGGGCATTATTGAACTGCTTAGATAATGCAAGATACATAGCCAACTTAAATGCTCAGCATACAGAATGCGGTTGTCGGCAGATGCGTTTCTTTGGAGAATGCAACGGCCTACATTGCTTTTATTGACAATTTGTTGAGATTGCCACCGATAATCAGATGGCTGTCACGTTGCCTAGCTCTCACAGGGAGCATAGTTAGGTCGTCACATTGCGCAGTGGTATGCATTAGTTTTCATTACTATGAAGAAATTATTCAAGATTGCTGAATCATTCCAGACAGGCAATATCGCTCAAGACTCAAACTGATGACATCATAAACACTGTTTATCTTCATCTTTCAAGATGACTGACATCATTTTCAACACCTATCCTAGTCATAATTAATTTTACAATTTATTTGTACAAAAACTTGACCTACACAAGTTATCCTTCCCCTGAATGAAAAATGTTGCATAGTAAAGGGATTATGAAATTAAAACTGTTTGGTTTTGCCTAAAAATATACTGCGTTTAAAATTTAAGAATACATGAAAACACAAAATTACTCATTTTTAGTAATAAGAAAAATATTATATTATGATTTTTGATTTACAGATTTCTTACCATAAAAGTTTTAAAATTGAATAACAATTTAAATGTCTATGCAAAAATAAAACATTACTGTTTGATGCATCTATTAAAACTATGTTGTTATTCTAACTTCCAATAAAAGCTAATAAGATTAATACTTAGACGAGACTTTTTTTATTCCTTGTTTCGCATACTCATTTTGTTAAAGATTATCGGAAGGCGGAATAAATATAAAATTTTGTTTTCTTATTTAGCAAATATTTTTGCCAAAATCATCCAGATGGAGAATATAAAAATAAATTTTATTATTGACTGTAAAATAGAATGGTTAAATGCTTCCAATTTATATAATTAGGAAGAAATATACATATCTTTGGAGATTTCAAGGCAGCGGAGGGCTAATAAATATAAAGAAAAAGTTTTATTTTTTTTTGTTTAAACTCCCACTTTTTTGTGGCATTAATTGTCCAAAAAAAAAATTTAATTTTTATTTGAAATCATCAATATTTGCAGTTGGCGGGTTCGCTAAACAAGGTATAAAAAAAGTCTGGCCTTAACTAAAAAAAGTAAAGAATTTAAATATAATATTTTTTTTTTTTTGCTCACCACAAAGAGAGTATCTCACCAGAGTATTTGCTAGTGAACCTCTGGTATTAACTAGTGGTGGCTCCAGAAATTTGTTGACATGGGTCCGAAATTTTCCCTCCGACACCCTTCTGGCGCCACCACTGGTGTTAACAGAACAAAAGTGTATAAAGTATTAAGTGTATAAAGCTGCTTTTCAATTTACTTTTAATTGCTCATAAAAAAGTAAAAAAAAAAAAATATGAATGTATTATATATATATATATCCAAATCACTGTTGCTAAATTGCGTACCTCAAAGAAACCTATGACTACTTTTGACATATTAATATGTTAAAACTAAAATTTATGTATGTGTGCAGTTAATGTTTAAAAAAGTAGCCCTAACTTTATATGAATATTATCAATATAGGAATATTGTTTAAAACTTTGAATAATTAATAACTCAATAAAATAGTACAAAAAAAAAGGATATTTTATGAATTATTGTGCATTGTGTATGTTATATTATTTTAATTAAATACACTGTATTGTATATACTTCTAGGCAAACACTATAGAATAGATATAAACAAACAATACTTTGGAAATCATGTTCTCTTTATGGTCTAAAGTCCTGTCCAGACTATCAAATTTTATTTATGTGACATTCCTAAATATGGTCATGATGAATTTATGTGACATGCCTAAATATGGTCATGATGACATCACATCATGACCAGTTAAATATAGGCACAGTTCTAAACAAACAATAAAACCAATAATGAACTGTAGTAAAAGATTTTTTTTATCTGTCAGGCTCCACAACGTGCAGAGGTGGTGCCAGCGGGGGGCTGGGGGAGTAGGGCCCCCGTCGGGGAGAGCTGTCCCCCCTCCCCCTTTAAGCCTTTAAAACCCCTAAATTGTCAACATTTTTGGGGGGCTTCGCCGTCTGGACCACTTTCGGAACCTTTTGCTTGCACCACGCCCACTTTGCTTTCGTCAGGGAAATCTAACCCCGCATCGACCCCCTGTTGGGGACCTCTTGGGCAAATCCTGGTGCCACCCATGGACTTCGGTCTGATGAAACAGAATTTCATGCTTGTAAAACTATGCAGATATCTTATCATGCACACACAACTTTATCGCTTTTCATGATTGTTAGGCTATGCTCAATTATTAGACATTCCAACCCCTGGGAGATGACGTGAAGGTGGCTGGTAAGATTTTGATGAGCATTTAAAAGCTCATTAAATGGTATTCGTTGATAGATTAGCCCTAAATTTATCTCTTTAGTCAGCTAGCCATGTAGTATCAAGACCAAGAGCCACAAAAGGAATCCTGACGGTGAAATAGAGAGGTCATCTTTGTATAAACCTAACATACAAAAATCTTCCAAAAAACCTTCTCAAGCTCGGAGGGTGCTCTTATATGCAGATCGCCTTTGCATCCTGTATTAGATATCATGGGTGTTTATTTCAGGAAGCATTTGTTATGCTGATATCATTGATAAAATCAGTACACAAAAAGAAATAGCACAGAAATCTAAATTATGGGGAAAAAAATGTGATAGCCTGTTATTTTAACATAGGAGACTGGGGGTGAATGAATGAAAATTTGGGAAACACTTGATTGACATGGGAGAGTTGGAACACCTGTATCTATTATTCATATTATTTAAAATTAATTATTTTTCATCAAAGTCTGATTAAATATTGTCTGGCTGACAAAAAGCAATTTCATAAAATGAAGCTACTACTGTGCTTAATAAAACTGACATTAATTACAATATCGAGTGAATGATTAATTTCGTATAAAATAGAAAGAGCAACATTTTTAACTTAATTACAATAATGAGTGAATGATTAATTTTGTATAAATTACAAAGAGCAACATTTTTAACTTAATTACAATAATGAGTGATAATTTTTTATAAAACAGAAAGAACAACATTTTTATCTAATTTCTAATATTTAATGTGCAGTGGAATATAAATATGCTTGATCTTGACCTACATCCTCAAATTCATTTGCAGAAGCCTTGTCATCTCTCCTAAACCTAAAGTTACTGTCTGCAGAAATGTAGTTTTGATCATCCATACGGACTGGAATCACCCCTTCTGATTGGTCGTTGGTTAACGAAAGGATGTCATACCCAGACTCACTAGTCATAGCAGTCTCCGGGCCAGAATGATCAAGTCTGTCATACGTGGCGTCTTCAAGTGGGTGCCTCGCTGACAACTGTGCGCTCAAATTGCGATTAAGGCGGTCGTATGTCTCGTCGTTAGAGGAGGGTTGCATATGTGACTTGCTGGCAGCAAAATTTGATGCTCTGTTGAGGTGATCATAAACATTAGCATCAGGTATTTGGGGATGGGGATGGGGAATGGACATGTTAGTAGTATCTTCATAGTAGCTCTCATCTGGCTGAATGCTAACTGGTGCGCCTGCATTTGGATGTTCATACTGGAGTGATTCGCTTGGTGTATCTTTAGAATGTGGATGTTGTTTAGGTTTGACTTTCTTCTTTTCCAATTCTTTCATTCTTCGTTTGTTCTCTTTTTCTTTTTCTTTTTCCAACTTTTTCCTTTCTATTTCTGCTTTTTTCTTTTCTTTCTTTGATTCTTTCTTTATTACTTGATCACCTAAATCTGATGCAGACCCTTGTATTTTCAGTTCTGAGTATCCACCTGCCTCGTTAAAACCATCTCTCTGTTTACCATAATCTGGCACAACACTACTCTGTGGTTGCTGTCCCTTCCAGCTAATTTTTGAGTCTGGAACGGCAGTATACAATGGATCCACTGAGTTAGATCTCTTTACATGAGGATGAGCTTGACCATCTGCAGCTCCTCGGGCAATAGGAGTTGAGGATTGAAGAGTTTTGTCCAGATGCTTCAGAAATCCAGTTGCCGGTATCTTTTTTCGATCACTATGCATTTTCTCAGAAGACTCCAAGGAGGCAACACGATGTCGTTGCACAGGAGCTGTATCTCTATTATCATTGACGTAAATATCGGCTTGCTCCTGGTTGTCCAAGTAACCCCTAGCTGGTAATGGTGGTTGACTTTCATCTAAGCCAGTCATGTTGTTGGTACTGTCACGGTTCAACGTTGTTGTGGCAGACATATCCTTGACGTAATACTGGACCTTTTGAAAGATTTCGTTGCCTTGTAGAGTGTTAAATATGATTTTTCCAGGTCCTGGTTCACATCGTCTACCACCTTCCATTGAGAATGATCCTCTATCTCGTCCATAACGCCTTAAGAACTTGTATGGCCAGACATAGAGGGGGGCGATACCACCTGTCTTTTCATGAATTGCTAGTCTTTGTGTACCAAGAACAAGTTTGTATTCTCCTTCCAATTTCAGTCTCTCTGAAAACTCGTCTGGTTTAACCGTTACGTAAAATGTTTCTTCACCTACAAAGAGAGAATAATATAAAAATAAGTATAGCACACCACATTTTGTAATTACCTGTAAGTACAGAACCTCATCACTACTCTTTGTAATTATTGTTACTACGACATCCTAAACAATATATATTTCTACCATCTGTCCAAAAATTATGATGAAAATATAGGTAAATGTAAGGAGCATTTCCACCTTTTTTTTTCAGGTGTACCAATTGACTGTGTTCAAATGTTGTTACAAATGGTGGTTGACTAATTAAAACTAGACCTCTGCAAGTGCCGATGTTCCTATGCAGTCATTTTGATATTAAAACATTACACTATTGTTAATGATGTAAATAGGAATAAGAAAAAAAAAACGAAATGGATCCAGGAATTTTCTTTAAAGAGAGCTCAATATATATTTTTAATATTTTTAATTCGGGTAGAAATGTTTAGGGACATTTCAACGTCTTCTAATCTAAATCAATATAGTCGTTGCATTTTTGGTACATTCCCTGGAGTCCAAATATCATTTACCGTATAACGCTAGATTATACAAAGTCTTGCATGGAGGGTGTAATAATAATATAATATATATATAATAATAATAATTCTGGATTTATAGACACAACCTCGAGGCGCTTAACAACAACAGAGAAGAAAAAAAAAATGTTCGAGTATTGCTTAAATATTTATCCAAAAATGTTTTCACGCAATAGGGAACAATTACATAAATTTACTACATGTATGCAAAAATTCAAAAAAAAAAAAAAATTCAAAGTTTTTTTGACTAATCTGATGACGTCTGAGTCACACAACAGGTGTACGGGTGCACATGCAGGGACAATTACAAAGGTTCCAATTGCTTTACAGCATAAGAACAAAAAAATGAATATACTGAATGAAGGACATAGGTAGGTAGGTAGGTAGGTAGGTAGTTACAGTAGGTAGCTAGGTACAGTATGGCAGGTAGGTAGATAAGCTGGCAGGTATTTACTGTAGATACAGTAGGTAGCTTGCAACGGTATGTAGGTTGGTGGCTGGTTGATTGATTAGTTAATTTGCTGGTTGATATGCTGATTTGCTTGTTGATTGAATAAATCAACGAGAATAATTTTTTTGTGAGTTTGAAATGAATAATTCATAATAAGTTTTGTTCTTAAAAAGGAATCTAATACTGGGGCGGAAGCAGGATTTGGCAGTAGGTGGTGCGTGAGAGTCATACCATCAGTCACACAATCAACCATAGTGGGCGGGGCTGAGGTGAGAAAATTTTGACCTCAGTAATAGTATACAAATAGTAAAATACTTGTTTTGAGATTTGTTTCAAAACCGAAAGTAAATAAATACCTTCACATGTACTGTACAATGAATTTTCCTGCATTCCAAAATCGCTACTATTGCGACTTACAGTTGAAGGCGAATTTCTTTGTTGAGTTTTTGGACTTGGATTTGGGTTTTGTTTTGTGCAACCGAAAGTTTCTACAACTTCATTAAAGGCCACACGCCTCAGTTCTGCTATCCATAAATCAAGATCTTCTTGTGTATCAACCGCTAATAAGTGTATTTTTTCGTCAAAAATCAGTTCGATGATGTATTTCTGACTTTTCTGCGCCGTAGATTGACAAATCTTTACACATGATTTTAGTGACAAGGTATGCAGGGCTTTCTGACCCCCTTTCTTTTGCAGATCCTTGATTTCGTACAGTTCGACACGTGTCACTCCTTCTTTGCTTTGCTCGTACAACTCACCGTATCGTTTAATCCATTTCTACAGCAAAAAAAAAAAAAAAATCAGACGGATTGATTTCATTACATACCATACATTTTATAAAACTATTCAATATGACAACACTACAGTATGAATGTATAAAAAATATATAAAGCATTAAGGATGCAGTTATGGTAGGCAGGGCCACCAAGCCTTTAAGTTTTCCACCCAGTCTGAAGCTAATTTCATGACTCCATCCACCTTTATTAACCCCCTTGCTGATCCTTAAAATCCACTAGAAATTCAGAGTCTTCCCAATGTTATCACCCACCCCAGGGGCGGATCCAGAATTGACCAAAAGGGGGGCCGGTGGGAGGGGGCCGAAAGTTGGGCCGATTGAGACAACACTGTCGTAGGGGGTCCGGGGCATGCCCCCGCGAAATTTTTGTGTTCTAGACGCCCGAACATAACATTTGAGGCATTCTGGGCTATCATTTTTTTCTTTTTCTCTCTTTTTTCCCCTTTTTCTTTCTTTTTTTTACCTCCCAAAAGGGGGGACGGGGCCGGACCGGCCCCCCCTAAATCTGCCCCTGCACCCACCCTTAAAGTGTCTACCACCCATCCTTAGATTTCTACAGCTACAACCCTAATTAAATGTATAGAAAAACATAATAATTATCAATGAAATATTCCAAAATTAGACTAATTACATAAAATTAATAATAAATTACTGTAACACATATTTAAAATTGATACAATTGGGATCACTCTACAATCTTTTTTTTTTTTTTTTTTTTATGATGAAATTATATATATATTTTTAGAGACTCAATTGTTTAATTTCTCTTGAATTTTAATATGTAATACGTCTTTGTAATTTTTAAGGTATTAATGTCAATTTTAATGTCTAATATTGCTCTATTTTAATGATTCGTAAATTTTTAATGGCCAATATTTGTAATAATTTTTCAGTCTCTCAATTCAGCTTATGCTGCAATAGACTGTGCGATTCTTTTTTGCAATAAATATACCTAAATATATATTATCTGTTTAATAATACTGGTATGCAGAAAACCAGTTCAGGGAAGTTTAAATTATATCTGTGTTACACATGATACACTGTATGCATAAATTTGTTATAAAGCCAAGCTGCTGAGGGGAAAAAAATGATATGTTTAATATACAACTGATTTTGACACAAAAATGGTGTTTGATGAAAAAAGTTGGGTACGTTTATGAGATACATATTTTTTAATAGGGCTTCTTTTCGAAATAGGCTTCTTTTTGCTGCTACAATCGTAGAGTAAAGGGGAGGGGCTTCTTTTCACAATGAATGCTGTAAAGTTCGGGAATTACTATAAAAAACAATAAATAGGGCCAAAGTAAACATCAGTCTGTATTATTATCATGGGGGTGTATTAACCAGCATTAAATCACCTAAACTACTGTAAGCAAGCATGTTTTTAATTTATTTTGTTTGTATCTGTGTTACACATGATGCTGTATGCATAAATTTGTTATTAAAGCAAGGCTTCTGGGGGAAGAAAACTGATATGTTTAATTCTATACACAACTGATTGATTTTTCTAAACCACAAAAAGGTTGTTTGATGAAAAACTTAGGAATGTTTAAATGAGATACATACTTTTGAATAGGGCTTCTTTTCGGGGCTACTATTGCAGAGTAAAAAAGGGGTGGGGGGAGGGGCTTTATTAACCAGCATTAAATCACATAAACTACTGTATAAAGCAAGCATGTTCTTAATTTATTTTGTTTGTTTGTTTGGAATTCATGTACAGTGTATGCACCGTACTACCTCGAAAAGAAGCCCATGCTATCTTGAAAAGAAACCCATGGGCCTTTGTTCGAGATGGGCTTCTTCTCGAGCCTACCTACTTTTGCAAACTAAAGAAGGGCCTTCAATTCGAGATGGGCTTCTTCTCGAGATAAAGCATATTGGGCTTCTATTCGAGGTTGCTTTTTTTTTTGTTTTTACAATATTCTTATCATCTTTGTCTTCTTTTGTTCATTTGTGGATCTACAATAGTATTTCAGATTTCTCTTCACTGACCGGTCTGTCAATATATCTGTACATGATTTCTCGTATATCTACACAATATTGTGTGCAATGTCAAGGATACATTCCATCTTTAAATACACTGTTTACACTTCCAGGTTTAGCTATCTCTTGACATGAATTTTTGTTGGCAGGAAGAAATTGTCCAAGATATGAAATGAAAATAATGACTTCCTTCTATGGAGTACATACTGATTGTTCTGTAGGAATCGAAATTAATGGTGGGGAATCTGTACGTACTGTACTGTTATTGTTTGAAATAAAAAAAAAAAAAAACAATACTAAAATTAGTGCAAAAATCTGTCAATAATTAAAAAATGTCTAAAAAAAAAAAAAAAAAAAACCACTTATATATATAATACTGTCTGCACAGTTACATGCTCAGTATTCCAATAAGTATTTTGGTACATAGTTTAACAGTAGATGGGTTCTGTCTCTTGTTTTCTTTTATTCAGTAGTAATAATAAAATAACATCAACATACCAGTAATATCATAAGTTTAGTTAATGGAGTTTAGATAATACTGTAAACATAACATCATTTTTTACGCACTGTAGCCACTTGAGACTGGCATAAACCTGTTTAGATAGTGTCTTTATATTTTTTTGGGCTGTGGAACATGGTGTCCATAAAACCTGTTATATTCCTAATACTCATTAGATTTACAGCACTATTTAATAGTACTACAATAATGGATTTAGTCTTTTGTTTTGTTTTATTTTGATTCATTTTGCTATCAGTAATAACAATGTTAATGTATCCAGGCCTGGAAAAAAATTTAGTGCCTCCGACCATGAAAATTCTTTTTAAAAATGTGTCTAGTAACAAGTACTATCCATCCATTATGGTAAACAATATTGGTGGCCTGGAGCATACAAAAAAAAATTACACAGGCAAAATCCGCAATGGCCCAGTAAACTGTATAGTACAAAACTGTTGAACCCAGAACCCTAAAATTGGAAGGCAAACATCTTAACCACTAAGACCTGGGGCAAATGCAGGATTTGGCTTTAGGGGGTACATGCAAAAATTTATGGAAATAGTACCTGTAGATGGCCGGAAATGACACTTTTATATAGTTAAAACTCATCATCACATCACTATTATATGGTCAAAAGTATCAGCGATTTTCGGCAACCACAGAGATCTAATTAGTATGTGTAATGTACACATAAAACTTAGAAACATTCTCTTTGATGTATTTACTTTACCTACTTCAAAGCTGGGTATCCACAGCCACCTCAGCCCCACCATGGTATGGGCCACCATGGTATGGGCCATACTTCTCAAATTATAATAAAGGCACGCGCACTCGAGTCGAGTATTATAGGTAATTCAGATGTTCGTGGGCAGAGATACAGGTATCTTGCTATAAAATAAGATGTCATCTGGCTGTTCAGCACTCTTTCGTTAAAATCTGGGTCATTTATGCATTTATGTCAATAATTTTCAGGCATATCTTCTTGACTCACGAAAAGTGAGGGGACCAACCCTTCCCCCTTAAGAAATATGTGAGGGGACGTTTACAGGGGTGGCACCAGCAGATGGGCCAGGCCCCTTACGTCGGGGAAAGACTTTTCCATTTAAAGCGACGTCCGACCACGGCCACATTGTTCTCATCAGGGTTAATTTTCATTCTCATCAGGGACGTCAGGCCACCGTCGGAGACCTCGGACCCCCCGTCGGGCAATTCCTGGCGCCAACCCTGGACATTTACCCCTTCCCTCATGATCTGCGCCCATGTGTGCGTGAGAGTCCACCACCTCAGCGCCAACATGGTTGAAGCTGAGATGCGAAAATTTTGAGAATATGGACCTCTGGGTGCCCGGAAATTGTACTCTCATGTACCTTAAAAATCTTACCAATAATTCATATCAACAATATAATACAATTATTTTTCTTATTAAAATAACCCCCCGCCCCCACCACCCTTGCATCCGCCCCAGAAGGCAGTCAGCTCAATTTTACACTTTATTATATTGTTGGTAATTAAGATTGGATTGGATTGGATTTATTCGGTGTAAACACCAAGGATAGCCCACAAAAGTCTAGAAGAAGACTTATTTCCAGTGGGGTCCTTCTGGTGGTGATTGGGCAGCACACTGGGAGACAATCCCCTACTCTTTTCCGAAGAGTGTACTGCGTTCTTTAACGTGCACATGGGCCATAATGCACACGGGACCAACGGCTGAAACATCTCATCCAAAAGACGGTGCACTACTGTAACTTGTATTTTACCCTCTAGCTGAAACACAAGGAGAGGCAGCGATGGGAATTGAACCAGGGACCTAGAGTTCTCCACGGTTCAGCACACACAGCAGCTACCACCAAATTATCCGACTGAGTTAAGCTGCTCTCTCTATATAGAGAGAGAGCAGATATATTTAGTTCCTCATTTAAAAGTGTGTATTAACCCTTTCACTGCGTGTACCCGGCAATGCCGGGTATAAACACATATTGTTGAATTGCGCGTACCCGGCACTACCGGGTATGTAGAAAAAATATTGTTAAAAATCAGGAAGAGGTTCTGCGCCCTCTATAGTTTTTTCTATGAACTATAATTAACCTTTTATCGGAAAAAGGTGTTTTCGAGTGGTTAGGCGCAAAAAGGCGGGTGCACGGCCTCAAAACAGACGGTACAATGTCGACGAAGCTATGGACCAGATCTTTGCAGATACGGATAGTGAAGATAAATTTGAATTGGATGATTCTTGCATTTCTTTTCCCCCAGTCGACTATGATAGTGACGACAGTGATTCTAAGGACGAAAACGATGATTCTCTCAACTTGGGAGGCCCTGCACAGGGTCAACGTGGCAATGTCTTGTCCGCAGATTTCCTTTCCACATTTCACACAATAGAATAGGCTAATTTGTATAGTTCTAAAATAAAGTAACTGTATGATGTTTGCAACGATGCATTTATATTTACAACCTGGATTATATAAAGCATAAATAAAAACGTATGGCAAAAAGTACATCTAA